TTCCACAGAAGTTGCAGCCAAAATATTAAATAAACCTCAGCAATCACCGAGACAAATCTTCCAGTGTTATCAGACCAAATGCTTTGGAGCCTATGAAGAACTACAAAAAAAAAAAAAAAAAAATCCAATTCAAAGAAATCTTGCCACATTCTAAAGAACATCAAGCGAAGTCACTCTTCACAGGATGAGTTATTATTTCATTCTTATTTGCTCAGGAAAGGTCACATCATTCATTGCAAGGAGTGCTCTAAAATCAAAGGGTTATAATCAAATTAATCATAATGTTGCTCATAAGTGCTTTTTTCTCCTTTCCTCTTCCTAGAGCCATACAGTATAATGCATTTCATGATCGGTTTATACTTCCTGAAGAGCCCAACATCTCATGATTCATGTTTATTTTTCTGCAAACATTCAAAGTCCTCTATGCGCAGGCCCTTGACAAGGCTCCAGTAACCCAAAGCCCGCATGGACCAAAGGGCCTGGAGTGGGCCTTGAACGTCACATAAAATAAAGTTCTATCATTTGCTCTGCTAAACATATCATTAACCAGATACGTAAATTAATATTAGCAGCATTTGCTAGAAACACTGCTTTTAAAAGGAATGTTGCAGCGTAGGGCCTTTGTCATCTCACCTCTATTCTGCCATTTCTTTTTCAAGGGAAACTTGGTTCAACAGAGACCATTAAGCGTATCATGGTAGTTGGTTACTTGCATATGGTTACTTGGGACTTAACTTTTATTCCAAAGTCTGCAATTATTACTTCAAGATAAACACTACATTAAGGAATGGGAACTGATAAGGTCATTCAATTCCTATAAAAAAAAATTACAGAATGGTTCCCACTTCACATACATTCGTTAGAGGATGTTGCAGAAATCATGGCCCCTGACACTCACTGATCATCCTCCAAACCAAAAAAAAACAAACAAACAAACAAACAAATCCAGGCACTATTCACATTATTCAATATCTTACAATCACTTACGCTCATTTCCAAACGTCTGTCCTATGCCATAAAAAATTTTCCTGAAAGTAGGATAAATGAAATCTATAGTTTTACAACACTGAGAAGCTGATGTATGTGCATAATTATTTCAAAATAAAAGAATAGGAAAATGTCCAGGACTATTTATAACTTCTTCTGCCTTTCTTAGAGTAGTAGAAAATCAGAGAAAGAGAAATAATAAAAGCAAAAAGTAGGAAAGTGATGAAAGCCAGTAAAGACTTTCGGGTATGAAAAAAGCTGCATTCGGAGCACAGGGTGAATTCCTCTGGACAAAATCTCCCCAGAGTCTCGGGACCCGGGAAGCCATTGTTGTCAATAATTTTCCTGTAATGTTTCACGGATGGTTTGGGCTCAAACTGATTTGCTGCATAACGATAGAGGCCAAACTTCGGAGCTGAGCGATCATGAAATGAATAAGCAAAGTATCCACAAAGATTGATACCATCCAGTATGTAGGCTAGAAAAACAAAAGGACAGAATGGTTGTTAAAATATTTTTGCACACAACACTTCACTCTTACACAGCATTAGGGAGTGCATCATGGAAACTTTCAATACCATTTAATAAAACTAAATTAGGTTTAACCATAAAAGGCTTCTTTCATGAGAGGACAAATATTGAGCTACAGTCAGCATAGTAGGTTTTATATAATTCAACCTCCTATGATGAACTTGGGTTCAATCTTTATGCACACGAAGGAGGCAAGAGTGTTGTAAACCCATCTGAGATGGGGGACAAAGGACTCCATGCTCTTACAGGCCCAGAACAGGTGTTAGGGAATTTTCCACTCTTTTTCTAGGGTCTCCCACTTTTAGCTAAACTCCATTACTCCTGGGGGAGAATATAGGTCTATCTTGGACTTGTTCAGCATGGCGGGTAACGGATAGTACTTTTCCTCCGAGAGCGACAGTGGGCGTGTATGGTTGAGCGCCTATCGGGCATCACACCCTCGGGGGGCCATTGGCTTCAAGGGGCGGCTGTTTCTAGGACCCCTTACCTTTCAGAGCTTCGTTGACATAATTCTGCATGTAATACACCCTCAGCCTGTCTTGGGCTGCGAGCGGGTCGTCGTCTATGCCGTTGGCTATTATATACATGGGGAGGTCTCCGTACTTCAGCTTCAGCCAGTTGAGAACTTTGCGCAAGCCCCAGGGCACCACGGCCACCTGACCTGGAGAGTTGAGCCAGGTGATGTCGGTCATTTCCTGCACTTCCAGGTAATCGTTGTATTTCACTGGGTCTTCTTTTTCCCAGTCAACAAGGATGGTGGTGTAATGGCTTACAGCCAGAAAGTCAAAGGAGCCCCGGATTAGCCTTTTTTCTTCCTCCGTGAAATACGGGAGAAGGAAATTGTTTCTTCGGTCCAGCCAGTCTCTCATCACACGTGGGTAGTCCCCAGAGCCGAAAATGGGCTCGGCCAGCCAGCCGATGTCAAATTCCAAAACCCTCTCGGCCACTTCTTTGTCCTTCGGGGAGAAAGGGCAGGCGGGTTCGATCCAATCGGCCTGCAGGGCTATGGATATTTTCCCCTTCTGAGAGCCCCTGAACTTCTCATCGTACACGCGCCAAGCCAACGCGTGCGCCTTCAGCAGGTTGTGCCCGGCGCTGTAGGTCATGTTGCGCGTGTACGGCTCGCCCATCGTGATCCAGAACTTGACGTGGCGGCCGAGATCCCGAAAGCACAGGCGGGCGTACTCGGCGAATGCGAGGGCGGTGCGTGGGTTCTCCCAGGCGCCGTGCCTGGCCAGCGGCGGCGGCAGGCCGTGGTGCGGGGCGGCGGGCCGCCAGAGCGCCACCACCGGGGTGATGTTGGCGCGCACCAGCTCGCTGACCACGCAGCGGTAGTAGTGCAGCGCCGTGTGGTTCACCTGCGACTCGTTGCCCAGCGGCTGGATCAGGGCCCAGTCCAGCGAAAAGTGAAAATGCGAGACGTGCATCTCCTGGAGTAAGGCAATCTGCGGCCGGATGGCGGCGAAGTCCACGCAGTAGGACTTCCGCCTCTTGGTCACCACCCCGTCCACCTTAATCAGCCGCTTACTGTGGTGGACATCCCACAGGTAAACGTTCGGGTCGGTGAACTGAGACAGGGTGGTGTCCACCTGCCGGGAGAGGAGGAGGTGTTAGCTTCACCTGACCGTCCCGGAAGAGGAGTTCCGCGCGGTCCCTTCCGCGAAGCTAGCCAAGCAGGAGGAGCAGAAAGGGAGCCTTTCCAGCAGGAGGTTTAAACCATTTTTCCTCAATTGTTCAGCTCGTGAAGAAAAAAAAAAAAAAAAAAAAAAATTCCACTTTTTAATGTATATTTGCTTTACCTATAGTTCTAACTCTTGCACTGCTGCTTTAATGTTTCTTTTTTTAAAATCTGGGGGGTGATGGGTAAGGAGGGCACGTGGAGTGAGGAACACTGCACATTATAAGCAACTTATCAGTCCTCGAACACTACATCAAAAACTACTGATGTTCTGTATGTTGGCTAATTGAACGTAATAATGATAATAAATAAAATAATTAAATAATTTTGAAAAGGAAAAATACCAAAAAAAAAAACCCACAAAAATCTGATTTTTTTAAAAAACCATTTCATATGACAAACCTTAATGATTCTCACACACCTCTGGTCTGTGTTAAGCAAGCAAAGTGCTTTTGAAAGTTTGTATTTTAATATAAGAAATCACCAATAATATGAGATTCCTAAATTTTTAAAAAATGGACAAAAAGATGAAGCATAGAATCTGAGCGAGTTAGAGTCAGAAAACGCAATGATATTTAAAATTAAATCATGCATCTTAAAGTCTCGTTCTAAATTGAAGTTTGCTTTAGGCAAAGAACATGCTAGATATGTGGAACTGTTGCTTTTTATCGGCGTTAGTGTCAAAAACAGAACTTAAATTCGATCTGATGGAAAAAGTGTTAGAGAATGTGGAAATGAAGAACAATATTGTCATTTCCACATACTGGGCTATTTGAGCATAATTTTAAAATGTTATTTTTCTGTGATGCTCATGAGGCCAGTGGTTTTCAATCATCTGATGAATTAGCCTCCAAAATGAAAATGGGTATTTAGGAAAAGCAGATAGATTGTAAAACTGAACCACAAAATGCTCCCTCCACGTGTTAACCGTGGAGGAAAAGGTACACTCTACGTTCATTCTAAGGACCCACTGACCAAACCAGTGCTGTCCTCTGAAACAGTCCTGTTAGAATAGGTGCCTGGGTTTGCCCGACCCTCGGAATACAAGCAGGGGTCAAACTCTGGTTTGGAATCTCTAGCAGAAGTTTCTTTGCAAGTTGTGGCCTGAGCTGCTTGCTGCTTCTCTGGAGGGCTCAGTGCTGTGTTTATAAAGGAAAGTAATAAAACACCAGCATGTCACAGGGAAATTGCTTTCTCTGGAGAACTGTCCCTTGTAGATCACCCACACGTGCATTTCCCCTAGTACTGTGGGAATGCTGTGAGAAGTACTTTTCCACTGTGATGCACCCACAAATCTTGTTTCCTCAGCTTTGCAAGAGAAAATATTTGCATGCTCTTTTGAAGTGAAAGTGTTCATAGCTTGAAGGAATTCTTTGGATTATTCTCACAGAGCTCTGAGTTAACTAAATTTGTAACTTTTCTACCACAATTTTCCCAAAACAGCAGCTTTTATTCAGCTCATCTGCAAACAAATATGAGAGACTAAGGTATAATATCTGGGGGCAGGAGGCATTTATTTTTTGAAAATACAGGACACTTAGGAATGAGCACTTGGGCATAATATCTAGCCGTCATTAATTGGTTGACTTTTCTTAATTAAAAAAATGAAAAATCAAGTGGGGTCTTTCAGAAGAAATGGGCATAAAGTATGTATTTAGTATATTATGGAAGAAATCTTCTCCTGATAGTGGCCAAGGTTAAAGAAGCTCTATGTCCCCAACGCGTAGCAGTTAAGTACCTGTGTTTTCTATGAGCATTAGTGGTTATGGGAAAACAAACCTGTCATCTGGGAAATTAGGTCCAGTGACAGTGACAGTCCACATGAACAAGCCGGAGGTCAGACTTCAGACAGGTGGTACCCTTACTGGGATATTCTTTTTAAAGTTTTTTTTTTATTAATATTAGGAATTTATTTGTATTAGGAGTTTGAGATGCTAGCCAGGAGGGAAGAAATTAATTTCCGTGGTTGAAAAATTACTTCTCAGGGCTTTAATATAATGTGTTAAGAGTATAGAGAAAAGCTTGTAAATTAAAACATATGCACACCCTCCTTGGGCCCGCCCTACAACAACCTTGTTTTTACTTTGCCAGGTAGGAAGTTCACTTAGGAAGGGCACTGCCAAAATAAAGCAAGGCTCAAGGGGAAAAGCAAAGAGAACAAAAGAGCAATTGCAAGTTTTTCCCACTAGAGAGCTTCTGGAGAAGTTCATCCACCATGGGTTTTAGAGGGAATTAGTTTGTGTGTGGTTGGTTGTGTGCAGGAGAGACTGGGGAGTAGGGGGAGGGGGGAGGCTTCGCTACATGAAGAAGTAGGAACCCCCACAACTGATGAGATAAAAGGGCAGAGCAACCTCAGAGGAAGGGTCCAGAGCTGATGCATGGCTGGCATCAGATCAAATTCTAACACAACTGCCCCTAAGGAGAAGAAAAAGCAATCCTCTCCCCTTCCTCGTCCCTGCCAGACTTGTTGCTTCTGACCAGAGTTTCTCTGCTCTCTCTCAAGGAAACAGGTCGCACCCTTAAAACTTTCTCACTACTTACCAGTTCCCAAGGCAAACACAGTCCAGGGATGGGGAACAAAGCAGGAATGAAGGTGCCCCTCACAATATCCCACAACGCCCACTGTCTGTACAGAGATGTTGGCAGAAAATTCCCTCCATGTAAAACTGAACTGCGAATTACCTGCCCAGGCTCAGGCTGCTGTCAGAAAACAGGACAGAGCATGAATCCTCAGGGACAAGGGATACAGAGCCCAGCTGGGAGTGGCACCTGGCAGGTCAGGAGAGAGAACGAAGACCAGGGACCAACCAACCCCCAGCAGGGGAGTAAAGAGGGATGGGGAACTCATCTCCCTCCCTTTGTCCCCTTCCCCCGACCAGCACCCTATTTGAACCCCACCGTGGATCCCAGTTCTAGGAGAGAAATTAGGAAAGGCAGGTTCTGGGAACAGAGGCTGAGGAGGAAGAGAGAAGAGGAGGGAGGAAACCCCCAAACCCAACAAACAGGGCAGAGCTAGACCTCTTCCTCCTGTGCTCAGACAACTTTGCTAACAGTGTCCCAAAGTTATCTTTTAAATTTAAGAAGGGACGTAAGTCTAACACTGCCCTTTAAACCAACTGAGGTCTGCAAAAGACCTAAGAATAATATAACCCAGCAAAAAAAACCATGTTAAGGATAGTGTTGATTTATTTCCTTATAGGTAAAGGATTTCCTTTTGATACTTAAAAGAAAACAGCAACCCATTTCAACCAAAAGACCTCTCCTCAGATCCAAGCATTCTTCTAAATACTTCTTTTGACGTGAAGGGTCACAGAATATGCCACCCCAAAATGTGACTGTAGGAGTTCAGGGCCTGCTACCCCAAAGTATGTTCTGCTGGTGTACTGATTATTTTAAGCTTTAAGCACTCAGAAAATAACAAACGCAGGGAAAGGCTTTCTCAGAACTTCCCTTACCTGTCTAAAGACAGCTGCTCCAAAAGGAACTCTGCTGTGATCAGTTCCCTCCCGGGAGTTTCATCCCCCCAGGGAAGATGGAGTCTTGTCTCAGAAGAGGAGACCAGAGGTCACCACCACACCCAGACACTTTGTCGCAAGCTATTGTGGTTCCCTTCTAAGGGCCCATTCTTCTTTCCTAAGGGCCCATTCTTCTTTCCTAAAAATTGGGCCCATTCTTCTAAGGGCCCATTCTTCTTTCCTAAAAATTGTTTGTTCTTCCCTAAGAGACCTATATCCCACCCTCACTTCTAGCCTTTTCTATTGAGATGGTATTTAAGCCTGAATTCTAAGTCACCTCAAGGAGTTACACATTTTTCTCTGAGTATCTCTCATGTATATGGAAGCTATACATGTTAATAAACTTCTATTTGTTTTTCTGTTGTTAATCTGTCTTTAATTATAGGGGATCTCAGCTAAGAACTCAGAAGGGTAGAGGGAAGCACCCAGCATGCTAAATGCCATTGCTTGTCTATGAATACCAACCTTTGTCTCTGTCTTGATCTTTTTTTTTCTTTTCAGCATAACAGAATTCATTGTTTTTGCACCACACCCAGTGCTCTATGCAATAGGTGCCCTCCTTAATACCCACCACCTGGCTCCCCCAACCTCCCACCCACCGACCCTTCAAAACCCTCAGATTGTTTTTCAGAGTCCATAGTCTCATGGTTCACCTCTCCTTCCAATTTCCCTCAACTCCCATCTTTGTTCTCACACTGTTTAGCAGGACTCAACCATCACCCTGCTCACTTAGCACCCGACTGTGTGTACTCTGTTATATTATTTGTGTATCCAGCATTTTCCCTCAATAGACCTCTTTGAAAGCAGGAGTCAACCTTACTCATCTCAGTGTGTACTCCCCTCAACCAAACACCCCCAGCGATTAACAGAGGGCTTTGTACACTAAGCATCCAATAAGTGCCTACTAAAATATTCCATCAAACTCTAGAAAACAAATCCCTTTAAGATTGGAAAGTGAAAAATAATATTGAGGATTGCCTAAATTGTAGGTGTTCAATAAATATTGGTTGACCATTTTGAAGAACTTCCTTACCATTTTGTTGACTAGTTCTAGAAATGAAATTTGGGACAGTGAATCATTGGAGCAAGGGTTTTCATTGCGGAGGGACTTCTGCAACAGCATGCAGCTCTGCCTCGGGAGAGCTCTGCCTGGTGTTCCTGCCTCTGGCTCAGCTGCTCTACTGAGATCTCAGAAAATTTGAAGTTCTGTGTTACTTCTTGTTTATGGAAGAACTCAACTGCTTTAAAAAGCATTGAAAACCACCAAATTAAAAGGGAGTATTTTATCTTTTTAACTATCTTTTCAGATCTTAAATATTCATATATTTTTAATTTGTTCCTCTTTGGGGGCTGATTTAAAGTACAAGATGAAGCTAGGAAGATTTTTGGAGAGAAGTGTGCCATGTTCCAAAATGCCCTTAACGTGCTCACTCAGGAACCTCGTCTGGCCTGAAGAATGGACAATGAGCCATGACAACCTAATAAGGAAGCACTACTTACTAGTGATAGGGCTTGGTGACACTGCTGATTGGTTTTGTCAGCTGACTTACTTGAATGTAGTTGTCAACAATTCCCCAAGCAAAGTCACAGGGAAATGTCCCTTCTAGGGGTTGATTTTCAGGTAAAGGAGGGAAGCCATTTTTCTCTATCAGCTTTTGGTAGAACAAGGCTGATGATTTTGGCAACAGTTTCTTATCCTGGCTTAGAAAGTCGACATAGAAGAGCCCACGTCTGATGCTGTAGCCTCTGTGCCACTCGAAGCCATCCATAAGGGACCACGCTGTGTAGCCAATGACGTCTACCCCATCCAGCTTGATGGCTGCAAAGAGAAGAGAGGATGAGAACAACTTGACCAACCCTTACCTGGGTACTGGCCTCATGACTCAAGAATACTTAAAGGGTTTACTACTTAGGGAAATAAGTTACATATAATGCTTATTGTTTGGTAAACCAATGACCTTTCTTACTAATAGAAGGCTATCACACCTGGACAATTCTACAAATAAAAGTCTTCACAAATAAGATGATCTCCAATACGTTTTTACTTGGAATATTTTTATTTCCAGTAGGCAGTCTTTGGGCCTGAGAAGATGTTTTGTTCCATTTTCTATCCTAGCATTGTGGCTGCTGCAATAAATGAATTAAAATCTTTAAAAGCATGAACAATGCAATTTATTCTTCAGGAAGTGTTAGTATTCTTTTTTCTTTAAAAATTGTTCTATTCAGGGGTACTGGGTGGCTCAGTGAGTTAAAGCCTCTGCCTTCGGCTCAGGTCATGATCCCAGGGTCCTGGGATCGAGCCCCAAATCGGGCTCTCTGCTCAGCGGGGAGCCTGCTTCCCTTCCTCTCTCTCCCTGCCTGCCTCTCTGCCTACTTGTGATCTCTGCCTGTCAAATAAATAAATAAAATCTTTTAAAAAATTGTTCTATTCAATACGAATAATAAGAACCCCAAAACATGTACAGAGATCTAGATACCCTGAGATTTACTTAATCCTTAATATAATCTAAAAATTTAGAGAAGCATCTCTGAAAACCAAATTATTTCACACATTATAACCCAGTTTCTCATTTCCAAAATGAGTTTTAAAAAATGAATTTAAGTTCCTCAAAGCCCCAAATGAGAAAGGTGTTACATAAATGCCTTCCTGCTGTTGCCAAAATGATTTTCTGCATTACTATTAAAACTATAAATTCACACAGTTTATTACAGATCATCTGAAAGATTGTTTTTCCTGTGGATTTTGGCAGGAAATTAGAATTTTATCCCCAATCCTACCTTTTAAGGTTTCCATTATGAATTTTTTGAGGTAATACATATATTTAGCATCATCTCTCTTGGTGGTCCCTGAGACAAACCAGCCATTTTCCACAATAAATATTTGAGGGTGGTTATATTCAAGGTCAATCCAAGAAAGGAGTTGCCTCAGGCTGGGAGATTCCAATTGGCGGAACTTCATGTGTGGGTCCAATAATTGAAAACTCAAGGTTGGTCCAAAAGAAAGAGCAAAAAAGTCAGCTGTTCCCTTGATGAACTTTTTCTCAGATTCAGTAAAATCAGGCAAAAGAGATGAAATATTATTCTTCATGCTGTCAGGATAGTCACCATCAATGAATATGGGTTTGGCAAACCAGCCTAGGACAAAGTCAAGAGATTTTTGACATTCTTTGATGCTATGGTCGGTCATTCTTCGAGGATTGATCCAGTGGGAGCTTAGTGCAATGGATACCTGGCCTCCCTGAGTTGGACGGAAAGAAGTATTGTAGAGATGCCAGATTTTGGCATGAGCCTATAAAAGAAAAAAACCATGGTGAATCTATCTCTGATTGGGAGAAGAAATACAAAACATTTTTGAATCTGCAGCTCTGTTGGTATCTGTTTCTCATCAAGTCTAACCTAATGAATAACCCCACAATGTAAAAGTCACCTGGAAACAATAAATTACTGTCGAGGTGAGTCAGCCCGCAGAGAGCTGCTACCATGACGGAATTGTTTCTATTATTTTTCAGTAGCCAATGGAAAATATGAATTTCTTATCTTGAATGCAAAGTGATTATTCATCCTTCAAAACGTTAATGAAATAAGAATTTATTATATCCTACCCTACTATTTAATTGACTTTAGATTATGTAATTTTCCATTAATAGGCTTCATGAGAAGAACCAGTCCTGCATTATGATCATACCAGGAATTTCTAAATAGGATTATATTTTTTTTTTATCCTAAGAGACTGGGAGTTTTCAAGTTGACTCAAGTTTTTGGAGTCAATTTAATATTTTGTGTTCATGCCTCACAGCTAAAATTCTAACACATGTTCCCACAATCTTTATTCTTCCCTAAGAAGAATCAGCACAATAAATTAAGGACCACCTCCAACATCTAACCTTGGCCCACCCTCTGGAACTCCGGGACAGTGCTGGTTTCCCATAGGACCTAGAGTGCAAGGTACAAGCCAAGAACAAGAATCACACAAATGCAGCTTCAAGGAGATCAGATGTCCATTGTTAGTCAGTGTTCATCTGGGAGTTTCTTACATCAACAAAATGGGCTTTGCTTCCTTAAGATTAGCTTCATACTCCCATAATATCTTACTGACTTCTGATAGCTTATTTTCACTTGTTTTCCTTCTATTTAGAAAGACTAATGAGGATTACAGGGTTTTTCCTCCCTTACTTGAATTAAGTTTCTCTTCACTTTTGCATTCCTTGATTTACTCCCCCTATTTTTCTACAAATGCAAATGCTGTTTATCAGCCTTTTACTCCCCTAATATATCCTCCCTGAAAAACCCATTCCAGTTCTCTGTTTGACTCATATTCTCCAAAATGATCATGCCAATTTCATCCCACTCCCTGGGCCTGAAGAAGCTCGTTCACTCAGAATGCCAAATATCCTCTTCATCTTTCCTAAATATTCTTCTCGTGGTTCATTTTGGTGCAGGTGTCCAAGAATGATCTCATCACTGTTCTTATGAGTTCAGCCAAATAGTTCAATGGAATAAAACAGTTTATGTCTAACTTTCATTTTTAGTTTCTTGGTAAATATCTACGATGTTTCATTCCACTGAATATATTTTTTCATGACCTGAGGCAGCTACCCATATGCTACAAAGGAAATGGAGAATAAAAACCGAATCAGAAGAATAGTGGCCTTTGCCCAAGGGGTTCAAGAAACTGAGGCTCAGTCGTGCTGGGCTGCTGGCTTTGTGACATCTCCCACCTTTTTCTTCCTCATCTCAGCCACTTGACCTCTGTCTTCCCCATTGTCAGGAAATCTCATCAGGTCATTTAACAGTTAATCAGAAAAGAAAGAGAGGAGCTCAGGCTAGTCCCCAGGGCACTTTCCTAACTTGGCCCAGTTGAGGCCCACAGACCCTCATGTCCTAAATCTAGCAGACATGCCTTTATAGAACAAACACTGCAGTGGACAGCATAAGGGTCCAGGTAAGAGTGAAAGCAACCCAAGAACTTCCTGATCTGGGTCAGTTTTGCAGGTGGCCAAAAGAAGAGTCATAAAACAGAAAAGCCTACGCTAATGGGCCACTCCTCTAAACCTGGCTACTTTGACACAGCACAGAGGTTTGGCGAGGCAATGAATGCCCTGGGCCACATGGAAGTATACACATGGTCTTTAATGTCAGATACAATTCCTGCTCCATTACTTTTTTTGTGTGCCTTTAACCATGTTACCTAATGTGGGCAGGTGAAACTAACTTCCTTGTGTCTCTCATAGGGTAGTTATGAGGATTAAATAATCTATAAAGAACACCTAACGCAGAGTTCACATATGGTAAAATCTCCATGAATGCTTACTCCTTCTCTACCTAAAGGATGAGCAGCCAAAAAAGATAAGTCCAGCCCATAAAGTCTGAACACCACCTGCTAAGGAACTCAGTCAAAGAACAGCCAAGTGACGTAGTGATACCACCTGGGCTTTGGATGAGAAAAGACTTGGGTTTGGATCCCAACTCCCCCATCCATTACCAGGGTGAGCCTCAGTTACTCTGAATAGATAGGAATAGAGGGTGTTCTCCTGCAGGGACACGATGAGGATGAAAGGATAGGAGGCAAGTAAAACCTTCTAGTAAGTAGTTGATGATTTTAGAGAAGTATAAATTTGCAGCATTGGGAAGTTGATGATTAATTTTATGTGTCCACTTGCCTGGACTAAGGGACACCCTGCCCCCCAGATAGCTGGTAAAACATTTGTCAAGGGTTTAGCTAAGCTGTGCCATGGTATTGCTGCCTCAGCATCTGGTTTTTTTGGCCAAGTGGCCTTCAGGGACTTTAAGTGACATCAGGTTCTCCTGCAAGTGTGTGCCCCAGTCAGCAGCTTGCAGGGTCACAAGCAAATGTAAGTTCGTGACATGACCTCCCCATCCGCCCTTTGATCACCAGGCTCCCCTTTCTCCCAGCACCTGGATGGCTTAGGGACCCTTTAGATAGACACACCCCCTCCCGGGGCTTACCAAAATCCTTTTTTTGTTGTTTGCATTGACCAGTCTGGTTTTAGCCTAGGAACCTTAATAAAGGCATAACTTTAGGTCCTGACTCTCTCTTTGTCTACGCTCTCCCCACTGGGCCCCTTAAGGCCCTGTACTTCCTCTAGGACCTATGAGTCACAAACTCTCTATTTCAAGTTCTCTTGTGGTCAGTTGTTGAACCCAGGCTCACCATACAGCCCTGTGTTCCACTTAACAAATGTTAATTTAACAAACCATTACAGCATTATTTCTGGGTGTGTCTATGCGGGTATTTCTGGATGAGATTAGCATTTGAATTGGGAGGCTGAGCAAATAAGATCAGCCTTACCAATGTGGCCTGGCATCATCCAATGCACTAAGGAGCTGAAGAGAACAAAAAGGGAAGGACAAATGAATAGTTTCTCTGGAGAAGGCAAACTAATAGAGAAAGCATCTTAGATGTCACTTGTCTTAACCACTCACCCCACCCCCCAAACCCTACTTCATCTCTTATTTGACTGCTCTCCACAGCAGCCCAACTTGGAGGTCATCATGCATGGCAACTTCTCCAGGAAGTCCCCCACCCCCACCAACCTGCCACACCCTGCTGCATGTCTCTCCTCTGGGTGCCCTCCAAGTCTTAGGCATACCTCTCTTGCATCACCTATCACAGGTGATGACGCCTTCCTGCCCAGACTCCCTGGGTGTTCCTTCATCCCCTCCCTGACACGTGGAGGTCCCAGTGTCTGTTGAACTGAACTGAAGCTTGCTTCATTCACCTCCAATCCATGTTCAGATGGTAGGTTTGAGTAATCTACTACTGTAAGGCAAAGTGTAGGAAGGTCACTGCTTAAGGTGTGGCAACAGCGAGGGATGATTAAGAGGGACATGGCTGTGTTTGTTTTTGCATTGCTTTCTAATTATTCCATGTACGTTCACCTTACAAGTTTGTTATTTCAAGATTGAGATTTAATAAAGCTATTTGACAAAGACTCAAGGAAGTAATTAAGGGTATGCATAAGAATGTTCACTAACACACTATTTCTAAGAGCCAAATATTGAAAACAATTGAAATGTCCAATATTCAAAAATATTCATACCATATATGCATGTTTTAACACATTATGGTATGACTAAAGATATACTACTATTCAGACATTATAAATAATACAGAAGAACGTCCATTAACATATCAAAACTGTATCCAAAATACTAACTGAACAAAAAAGCAGGTTACAAAACAGTAAGGAGAGTTTAACAATATTTTTTTATCAAAGAAAAACAAGTACATAAAAACCTGGAATGATTTATAAATTGTCAAATGAGATTTTGTAGCAGGATTGCAGGTGGTATAATTCTCAATTTGCTTATCTGTATTTTTACATTTCCTACCATGCGCATGTATTGCTTTAGAAGTATGAAAAAAACCTTAAAATTTAAGGAAGGAAAATAGCTCAGAGAAGCCGGATGGCCAGTCCTGCTGAAATGTCCATGATGGTTATTTGAAAGCCATGATCTAAATAACCCTTGCCTAATTGTTCTCTGTTCTGCCCTACAGTCTCTGCCTCAGCTCCTGAGTCCCAGACACAATGCATGCTGTGCGAAGGTCTGAAGTCACCTGGGTTTTTACGCCTTCATAGGTGCATCTCTCCCAAGTTTTCCAATCCCTGATCCCTCCAGCTTCACCCCACTTCAAAACCCAGCTCAGCCATCACCCCTCCGGAAAGTTTTCCCTGACATCTTCCTTCTCTCTGCCCTTAAGTGTCCACTCCATGTGTCTCCACAGCTGACCTCTCTCAAAGACCTTCATCCTATTGTGTTGGATTCATTGAAGTGTCCAGATTATAGGGGTTTCCAAGACATTGACTGGGTCTTTCAGTACTCTCTTCTCAGATTATAGCAAAGTGTCTGGGGCAGAATATGTATAATGAACAGATATGGAAGAATGAAGGCTGGCAGTAAGAACCAAATCAAAGACTTTGGGACAGAAGCAAACATTTTCTGATCCAGAATGGGAAAACTTTCTCCTAAGATAACCTGGGTTATAACCTGAGACCTTGAAAGACAGAGAGCTTTCAGGCACACCCCATTAAGAAAATAAATTAGAAGGAATTTGGCTTGGTAGGCCTCTGCGAATAATACAGCATTGTCTCAAAATGCACTAATGACCCAATGTGGGGCATAAGACACTGGTGTGTGATATCCTCTTCACTTCCTTCCCAGCCTCAGTGTTGATTTTGAAATCTACATTCTGAAAAATCTATATTCCCTGGAATATATATGCAGAAATCCTTGAAATGATTGGAGATCAAACACAACAATATTATT